TTCCTCTAAGGAGTCAGCCCTTTGGCAGTGGGGCACTTCAGCAGGGAGGGCCCTCTATCCAGCATCCATGGCTACCTGGCACTTGCACTTCCTTCCCCTGCAGTGAGGGTCACAGAGCCAGAGTGGAGCTCATCATAGACTCAGAAGACAGCTAGGCCATTTTCCTTATTGAGCACATAATGAAAATAAGGCCCAGGGAGGAAAAGAGACTTACCCAAAGTCAGAGTGAGGGAGGATAATGGACCACGAGCTCAGACTCCTGCCTCCAGCCCTTAGCTTTTCCCCACTTGAGGGAATCCTGCCCTTTCCCAGGTCTGCTGCTATCGAGTTCCCTCTGTTCTGTTTCAGCTAAGTCACTTCCATCTCGCCTGTGAGGTTGCAAGTTTCCTGACACAGACCTGTGGGAATGGAAGCCACAGGCATGGATTCAGGGCCCATCTTTACTTCCTTTTTTTTTTTTTTTTTTTTAAGATTTATTTATTTATTTATACAAGCACTGGGTACAGTCAGAAGCGCGGGAGGGTGAGAGAATTCACCAGAGCCAGAGCAGAGAACAAAACAGGGAGACTAACGAAGTACACTGCTGAGGGGAGCAGCGGGCGGCAGGAGAGGTCTACATGCCATATGGGACCCTCGCCGGTGGCCGGGGATCGAACCAGCACTGCAGAGGCTGCGGGCAGCTTCGCAGCCCAGCGCTCAACCGCTGCGCCACCGGGGAGGCCCACATCTTTACTTCTTATGAACCAGAGGGCTCTGCCTGTCCCTGAACATGAACCCCAGTACAGATGACTCCTTCCTACCTGGGGATCTCAGTTCACCACCTGACAAATGTGGCCCTGATGGCCTAGGAGCCTTTGACAGCCCTTCCGTCAACCAGGAAGACACATGTGGCCATGTCCAGCCTGGGGCGGTCAGGAGTCAGGCTGAAACATGCTGGCAACCCTTTGTACCATCAGAGCCAATGACCAGAACTGATAGCTACTTGGCCCACCTCCAGTTCCCCAGGAAGGAGTCAGTCATTCTGAGCAGGGCAAGGAAGGACTGAGAACATCTGGTCACTCCAAACTCTCTCGATATGAAACTTGTACATATATGTCCCCCAACAGGTTCCCCTCTTCCTTCATAAGCCATATCCCATGCTAACCCTTTCACCTCCTAAATTGTTCTTGTATCCTTCCTCTTATAGCCACTGCCACAGTCTGCTCCTTGGCCCAAATTCTGGTCCCCTCTGGCCTGGGTGGCTGCAGCAACCTCCCTGCTGGTATTCACTTACGCATCCTGGCCTCATTTTCCATCCAGCTGTTCTCTGTTCTACAGTCAACACCGTGTTTTCAAAATGCTCATCAAAATCACCACCCTGTCCCCTCCACCACTCCATTCAAATGACTTCATTGTTTCTTGTAGCTCTTTAAATAAATCTGAGTCTTTAAAACAGTTCACTGTGTCTGCCTGGTATGGCCTTGCAGACTTCCCAGCCCCCTCTTACCTGCCAGTCCTCTGCCTCTCAGACACACACCTCCTCTGCCACAAGTGCTACCCAGAGCGGGGCCTTGCGACTCTCACAGGAGATTTGTTCCTACTGCAGCAGACAGACCCCTCCCCTGCTAGGGCCACCCAGGACTTACCTCCAAGCTGAGAGAGCACATTTTGTCCCAAAATGCATGATAGAAGTACAACGTGGCCCTCACCATACTTGACCTGACTTCTTAGTGAATAAGTGTGTGATTGAATGAATGAATGAATGAATGGGAGAACTACCACAAACTTGGGGTTCATATCTCTAACCCCAAACTTGCTCATGTCTATGTCTGCACATATGGTCTTGGGGCTGGGTGAGCCCTGATCCAGCTGTCTGACCTGAATTCTAGAGGGACACTCATGGGCAGCACTATATCAATTACAAGTCATCAATAATGCATTCCCTCAGAGTGGCCTAGGAGGCCATTAGCTGAGCCTGCTGGCCCTGATGAGCAGCCTTGGAGAAAGTGGGCTGAGTGTGCCCAAGGGAGTCCAGATCAATCTCTGGAGGAGGGGGGCTTCCGACCCAGCAGAGCTCAGAAGGGTTGCCTCGTGGGCCCTCTGAGACCTGGTCAGCAGAGGGGTGACTTGAACCCTCTCCATATCCACCCTATAACGAGCCAGCCTCATTTTCTCACCCTTGGAGAACTGCAGCCCCATTTGAATGCTGGGTTGTTGAGGTCCAGAATCTGAAAACAGTGAAGGCTGAGTCTGTGTCTAGGATTGGTCTCAGCATGTGTTCAAACTTGAACACCTGGCGTTCAGGCTCCATGTGAGCCCAGGACCAGGGCTCAGGGCATGACCAAGATCAGGGCTCAGTCTGTGACTAGGATCCGGGCTCAGTGTGACCAGAGTCAAGGCTCAGTCTTTGTCTCAGCTTTTTGGAAGGATTAGGGCCGTCTGTAACTAGAGTTAAGACTCAGTCTGAAACCACAGAATTGAGCAAAATTGACTAGTTCATTCATTAGTTTATTATCCTTCAACAATATGAATTGAGAGCCTCCGGGTACCAGTCAACAAAGTAGGTAAGACCATGGCTGTTACAGGGATTATATTCCAGAGAGAGCCGAGGTGGACCTAGCTGTTCCTGAGAGCCAGTTGTGCACATTTCTTTCCAGTTCTGCATGGCATTGTGTTGGCAGCCTGAATTTAGCCTTGGTAGGCCCCTTGGGACCTCTGGGACCTGGTCAGCAGAGGGGTGGCTTGAACTGTCCTTGAGATTAGCACCAACTGCATATCACACCTTCATTTATTTTTTCATCAGCACCCCCCTGGGGATGAGAGAGAGGAAAACCAGTGAGTAGTCTTTTAAAAAATGGCAATTGACCACACTTATTTATCTGATCTCATTCCCTGAACTCCACTGAAATAATAATAAAGAAAAAAGTCATAAATACAGAAGACTTAAGAAGCTGTCTCTTGAAGGCTTGTCCATCGGGGGAAAGAGGACAGAGATTCCAGGGGTTGGGGAGGATGGAAGATGTATAAGAGAGGTGCCTTAAGAGGAGGATGGTCAGGGAAGTGGGCTCCTGTCCCCCTCGGAACACTGGGAATTTGGGAGGAAGGGGTGAGGTGAGGAGCTGATCAAGGGCAAGTGGAGGGGGGCTGGCCCCCTTCCGAATCCTGCACAGCACTCCCGTGTCTGCGAGAGTCAAAGGGTTTGTCCTCTGGAGATGTGAAACCAGAGTGTTCCCCAGTGGCTGGCGCTGCCCAGGGGCTTGGGCATAGGGCAGGGCTGAAAACAAGGGTCCAGCAGAAGTCCTCCCCCTGAGGCCAGGACCTTCTGCCACTCCCCTCCTACTCCCAGCACAGGGGTGTGTCCTCGACAGGAGGACGGGAAACTAACCCCAAAGACAAGAGCTGTGAGCACTGACACCTGGCCCCCCAGTGCCGCTTTGCTACCTGGTCATCCTGGCATGAGCGGATGCTTTTAGTTGTGTGTGTTATGTGTATCAGGGAAAAAATGTACATTAAAGAAAAAAAACCTTCTGATGAAGGTGGTAAATGTGACGCAGAGAACTCAGAGAGGCCGATGTGACGAAGTGCCCAGGTGCAGCTTTGAGCTGGGAGCAGAGGGAGCAGCTGGGTGTGGCCCTGAGACCAACCGCCCTTGCTGTGTTTAAGGGGGAGCGGGTGAGTCTGGGGGGCAAAGGCAGAGAGGACAAGGTGAAGTGGGATGGAGACAGGCCCAGGGGTGGGCCTGTTTGTGAGCCAAGGGCGAAGTCCGGCTGTCCTCCTGATGGAGGTTTATGGACCAGGGATGACACGGCCTGATGTGGGTTTTCAGGACCCTCTTACTCTGCGGGAGAAGGGGCAGGGTCTGCGGAGGCTGCAGCGGCCAGGCGGGAGCCGGCAGGGGAGTGGAGAGAAGCAAGAAGCAGGGTGGTGGGGTGACGCTGCACTTGGGGGAAGATTGGCTGAGGGAAGCCAGGAAGTAAGGGAGGGGATGCGTTTTGGGCTCCAGCTAAAATGGGATGAAAATACCTGAGGCGCAGGTTTGGGGGAACAGTAAAAAGTCCGATGTGGACCCGGTAGGCCAGCTCCATGGCGCGGTCAGGTAGGAGCTGGGAGTCTGAGCTCCAGGGAGGGGCAGGGATGGGGCTTGGGCGTGGGCAGTAGGTGGGCAACCTACACAGGTAGCCCAAGCTCAGGGTCTCCCGTCTCTTCCCCCAAACTCCCAAGTCACGGCTCAGCTCTGCAGGAGCAGCAGGCGCGCGGGAGCCCACGGGTGGCGGGAGAGCCTCCTCCTCCCTCCCCGGCCTCCCCGGCCCCCCCCAGGGCGCACAGGGCCCTGCGGGGTCAGACCCAGACTTCGCAGGAAGGCCCAGGGTGTGAACCACCGTCCCAGCCACTAACCCAAGAGGCATCTGCGAGCCTCCCTGAGAGGTCCCTGCCCCCAAATGAAGCAAAATCAAGATGTGTGCGTCTTTCACAAGCCTCATAAAGCGCCGAGGGCCCCCAGAACGCCCGAGTCGGGCCTCACATCGTGGACAGGAAGCCGAGGCCGGAGCCCGGAGCTGGGGTCCCGCGGGTGCTCTGGGGGCCCTCCCCTCCCCTCCCCTCCCCTCCCCTCCCCTCCCCTCCCCTCCCCTCCCCTCGGAACAGCTCCTGGAATAGAGGGCGGGACATTGCTGGGGGTTCGGCTGGGCCAGGGGGTGCCTCCCAGCCTGGTGGAGCAGACCCCGGGTGGGGTGGGGTGTCCCCGTGTTCCTCGCTGACTTTCCCGGGTGCCCCTCCGGGCACTGCCCTGAACGGCTCCCCCTCCCCCCCCCCCCCCCCCCCCCCCCCCCGGGCTCCCCGCCCCGGGCCGGCGCTCCCCGTCGCGGCGCGTCCCCCGCACCCCGTCCCGCGGGGGGCCGCCCCCACCCCCCACCCCGGGCGTCAGACCCGGGCCCCAGGGGCAGGCGCCCCTCTCTCGGCCCGAGGCGCCCCGGCGGCGCGCTGGGGTCCCCGCCCGGCCCCAGCCCGCTCTCCTCTTGCAGTTTGAGATCCGGCAGCTGCGGGCGCACCTGGCGCAGCAGGACCTGGACCTGGCGGCCGAGCGCGAAGCGGCGCTGCGGACCCCGCACGTGCTCAGCCAGCCGCGCGGCCGCTACCAGGTGCTGGAGGCCGGCGCGTGGGCCGAGGAGACGGCGGCCGCCGGCGCGGGCGCGGGCGCGGCGGAGCAGCGGCGGCCGGAGCCCGGGGAGCCAGGTGAGCGCGGGGAGCCAGGGGAGCCAGGGGAGCCAGGGGAGCCAGGGGAGCCAGGGGAGCCCGGGGAGCCCGGGGAGCCAGGTGAGCGCGGGGAGCCAGGGGAGCGCGGGGAGCCAGGGGAGCCAGGGGAGCGCGGGGAGCCAGGGGAGCCAGGGGAGCACGGGGAGCGCGGGGAGCGCGGGGAGCCAGGGGAGCACGGGGAGCGCGGGGAGCCAGGGGAGCCAGGGGAGCGCGGGGAGCCAGGGGAGCACGGGGAGCGCGGGGAGCGCGGGGAGCCAGGGGAGCACGGGGAGCGCGGGGAGCCAGGGGAGCGCGGGGAGCACGGGGAGCCAGGGGAGCCAGGGGAGCGCGGGGAGCCAGGGGAGCGCGGGGAGCACGGGGAGCACGGGGAGCACAGGGAGCCAGGTGAGCCCCGGGAGCCAGGTGAGCCAGGTGAGCCCGGCTTCTCTCCGCCCGCGCTGCGCCCAGGGCCGGGCCGGGCTTCCGCAGGCAGCAGGTCTTCGGGCCGCCGCCCCCTCCCTGCCCGCAGGGAGCGCCCCCCAGCCGGGACGCCCAGCAGAGCCCAGAGAAAGCTTCAGGCGAGGCCGGCACGTGAGCGCGCGGTGGTTCGGGCGACGGCACCTGCTTCGGAGCCAGGCTCACCGGCCGCTGGGCCTCATGGCAGCGGGGGCGGCTTGAGCTTCCCCTGGGTGACCACACCGAGCCCGGGAAAACACCCCAGCCCCGCGCGCGGGGCTTCCCACTGCGCTGCCAGGCCCCCCGCCCCCCATATTCAGTCCCAGTCGGGGCCAGGAGAGCCTGGAGCCCACGCCTGCGAAAGGAGGGCAAATCGAGGGCAGGGAGGTTGGAGCAGATGTGACCCCGGGCTCCGACCCAGGTGGGGTCCACAGAGAAGCTCATCTCACCCCCGGGAGGGGGGAGGGGGGCTCCATCTTTCTCGGACTGAGTTTCTCCAGCTGTCGGATGGGAGGTGCTGAGCCTTCCTTGCAGGGTGCTTGGGAGCTCAGGGAAAGGGGTGTCCACCAGGCCCGCTAGTGTCCCGGACTGCAGTTGTGTGATGCAGCGAGAATCCCACCCCTGGGGATGGCCTGGCCTCAGGGCTGGGCGTTTGGGGTTCAGGGAGGCTGTGACCTGATGCACGCAGGCCAGGGATCAGCCCCAGCTCAGGGGGCTTGGGAGCCAGGCAGGGGTAGATGGGGGCCTTCAGAGCCGGCCCTGGCTGCGCGCCTTTCCTGGGTGTCTGCGGGTGTCTGGGTAGGGGGTTCTGGACTGCACCAGGAAGTGCACTTCCATATTGACGTCCCCTGATAATTGAGACTGTGTTTCCAGGTTCACAGTTTTTTACCTTGAGGGAAGGGAGCTAAACTTCATCAAACCTCTTCAAGGGAAGCTCTTTACTGAATGATGTCCTGAATCCTCACACCTCCTTTCTCTCGAGTAGAGGAGGAAGCTCAGACCCAGAGAAGACAGTTGACTTTCAGAGTCCCACACGGGGATGGTGGCGCTGGAGTAGCCACCCCTGTGGAGCCCTGAAGTGCAGCTTGCTGCAGGACCTGCTTCACCTTCTTCACCTGGCACACCCACTCCCAGCAAGGACATCCTGGGCTGGGCAGGGTGGGAGGCTGGAGCCTGAGCAGGTCCTCGGCTCTGACTGGGCTGCCCAGCCTTCCCTGCTGTGACAGGGACCCCAGCCTCCCAGCTCCATGTCCCTCCTAGAAGGTGTGGGCAGCAGGCTGTGAGTGTGCTTGGCCGGCTGTAGGCACTGTGAAAGGTTTTGGGGAGCAGGCTGAGTGTTATTATCTTTCCAGAGACCTTAGATCTTAGAAATATAGAGCTTGGGGGCCAGGGGAGCCCTCCTGCAGGTTCCTGAATCCCATCTATAACCCTGCCAAGAGCCTCAGCTTACCTTCCGCTCAACACGGGTGCTTTGTTCCTCGCAGGGAGACCCAAGCCTCCGCCTTCACATGGCTGGGATATTAGGAAATTTTCCCTCCCACGAGCCACGCCTGCCCCCAGTGCTCGCCTCCCACTTGCCACAGTTTCTATGCACAGCCCTGCTGGTGCCTCCCAGCTGAGCTTTCCTGCTAGACATGAGTCTCCTGGTGTTTTCTCCTGCAGGGCCTGTTCCCTTTGCCCCCTGGAGTCGTTCTCAGGGGACAGACTCTGTTTCTTTCCCAGCTACTCTGCCCCCAGCCACCGATGTTTTGATCCTTCTCAAAGTCCAGAACCAAATGCTGTTTGGGGGAGCAGCAAGACAGGCATAGACTGCCAAGAGGCCACCCCTGCTTTTCTCTTCTGGGCCCGAGATGCCTGCTCTGTAGTCAGAAGGTGCCTGAGCCTGTGGGGTCTGCCTGTGAGTCCACCCACAGCGGCCTCAGGCCTGCCCCCACCCTCTGACTCTGCTGAGTTCTGGGTCCTCACTACCGCTGCTTCAGCAGTGGGCCTTTTGGGTGCCCATGGGGAACTTAGTTTATCCGTGTTCAGCTAGAGCTCCTTTAGTTCCTGTCTTTGCTCTAGGGCTTTGTAGGCCTGACCCACAGCCCATGGCCTGCTGGTGTTACCGCCTCCGTGTTTCTTGGACAATGTCCTTCTACACCTTCATGTTCAGGCTTCGTTATCTCTGGACCACGGGTTTGCCCACACAGGTGCCCTCTGCTCCCTACCCCCGGAACACACACGCAGCGATCTTTCCTCAAGTGTGCCCACTTTTAGACACACCTCAGCTCAGGAGAGCCCCTCTGGCGCAGCACTGCAGTCTCTCTCGTCAGGAGCCTTAGCTCTGCAGGTGACGGCACGGCCATCGTCCCTCAGCCAGTCACCCACAGACCCTGGGCTCCTGAGGCCACATTTTGGGCCCACTGGGAGTGAAATCTTGCCTTAGAGAGTCTATGAGCAAGCCAAGTCTCTAAAATAATCCCACTGAGTGTGGGGGAATGCTGTGAAACTGAGTCCCCGGCCTCCTCTCTGCAGTCCCCAGTGCAGAGCGCGCACAAGGAAAAAGAGGGAGGCAGAATCTGGAGGGAGGATGCCGTGTCAGGCTCAACATTCACTCAGCATAAATTTGATCAGCTGTGTATCATGAGCCAGGGTGTCACAGGGTCTTTAGTGACCCTCCTGGGAACTTGGGGGACATCCGAACAAGGCACTGGGGCCTCCCATAGAGATGCCAAAAATGACCCCCGGGGAGCAGCTGCAGATGGGCCTCCCAGCAGCCCTGGAATCCCACCCTGCTCTCCTTTATCCTTGAGCACCCAGGCTGCCCTCACTCTCCAGATGGCTCCTGCCCTGCACCTGCCCAGCCTCCAGAGCCACGCCCACACACAGAGTGTGCACCCCACTTGCAACCGTACAGCCACCCCATTACATCAGTAGCAAAGTGAATACCTCTGAGGCAGGAGGAATTAGGGGTGAGGGTGCAAAAGCAAGCAGCATGATTCACAGCCTGGAGAGGGCCCCCATCCCACATTGGCATCGCGTATGTCCAGGGAGGGATTGCCATGACCTAGAAATTATGGCTGGACCCACTAGGGTGCTTGGGCTGATCTGAAGGTAGAGAAAGGGCAGCATTTGTTGCTGGGATTGACCGTCAGGCCAGAAAGCTCTGGGGCCACCACAGCACAATTGTCTCACAGTTGTCTGTGGGATTTGACCTGCAGACACAGCGATCAGTCCCAGGAGGGGGCCTGGCTCTCCAGAGGAGGGTAGCCCGGGAGGCTGAGCGAGTGAGGAGACGCCTGCAGTCTCAACAGTCCCCAGTGGTGAAGTCCGACCGCTGCCGACCAGCTTCTGTTTAGACTCGCTCCAGCACAAATCATTTTTAAAACCCGGGCTGTGAAGTTCTAGACTTTGGGGCCTGCCAAGTTCACAGTGCCCCTGTGCAGTCATTAATACTTTCCCCCCAAATTTATTAGTCTTGGATCTTGCCCATAACTTATGAGTGACACCCGCTGGTGGGAGCTCCGCGTTTTCACCATATATCACAGCGAATCTCGCGTCCCCCACACTGCACCAGCACCCAGAGGAACCCCACACACAAGGCCCCTCCCCGGCCAGGCAGGGTTGGCACCAGTGTTCACTTGGCAGAGGACAAGCCTTTGTGCTCATGGAGCCACGTCAGGGGTTGTGTTGCCGCTGGCCCCCGGTGTGTGTGTACCTGGTGGGGGCCCGGAGAGCCCATGGAGCCCCAGAGCTCAGTGGCTAGCCCTGGAAGGCCTCACACAAAGCAACAGCAACTGCCAGAGCCAGGAGGCACGTGGCCTTTAGGGACAGCTGGGAGCTTGAGCCTCAGGCCTGGTTTGGAAACTCAGCTGGGCCTTGAACAAGTTACTTAACCACTTGGCATCGTGGCCCGTGACCTGTGTGGCTTCATGCAGAGCTCTGCTTTTACCCTCTGGAAATTCTTAATGTTTTTGAACAAGAAGCCCCACTGTGTATCCAGCCGTGTCGCTAGGCCCTGATTTTCCAGAATGAGATTAGTAGCAGAAGTACATCTCTGAGCAGCCAGTCACACACACAGCTCTCAGACCTGGCACACCGTAGGCTCTTGTGTGGGTGTCCTCCTTCCTGGCCAAGCCATGGAGCAGCACGCTGTGTGCTCAGGATGCGTGGACAAGCAGTCCTCCAGCCTGGCGGGCCCCGCCACTTCCCAGAGGCCCGGCTGACTCAGCACCCCTTCTCCCAGCTCTGCTGCACTGGGCAGTCATGCAGGGCTCCTCCCTTTGGGCAAAACTCACATAACAAGCCTTGCCACGGCATCACTCCACTGGCTTCGGGAGGATTAGTCAGGGTAGGTTTGCAGAAGGCTCACGCCCAAGGAAGAAAGGCACCGAGCATCTGAAACCAGCTGCAGCAGCTGCCACAAAAATGACTGGGACTGTGCACTGTGGGCCCAGGCTCAGGGAGCTGAATGGCCACTGGACTTGACATTCATTATCTTAGCAAGTCTTCCAACTCACAGAGTGTGAGGTTTCTTATTCCCATTTAACAGATGAGGACATTGAGGCTCAGAATGGCCGAAGCCACACAGTGCAAGCTGCAGAGCCAAGGACATTGGCACCCAAGGACATTTTGTCCTAGAGCCCATTCTGCTTTTTAGCCCCTCCAGGCTCTCCCAGCTCAGTTCCCACGTAGGGTGAATCCTACGTGGCCTTCGGGCTCCTTAGTGCTTGTTAAAAACAAGCCAGGGGCAAATGGAAGGTGGACACCCCACACCAAGTCTGACAGGTGACCTGTTCTTGGCCCCAAGCATCCTTCCTCCTCCCAAGCTCCAGACACCCCAACTAGTCTCTGGATAGGAAGCGCCAAAGGGCGGGACCTGGACTGCAGGCTGTACCCGGAAGGTGGAGGGCAGTGTCCTGGGCCAGAGGCCCTGCCTGACTGGTCTGTCACCCTAACCATTAGTGACTGACAGAGATGCCGGGCACAGGGCAACTGAGAGGAAAATGAAGTGAATTTCAAGGGCTGTCTGGCCCCTATGTGGGTAGGGACAGAACTCCCGCCCCAGGGGTCTGGGGAAGGGGCCTGCCTGGAGCAGAGACCTAGCAGCACCAGTGTCTGCTCTGAGAACAGCGTGGCCGAGGCTCACTCTCAGTCTGTGTCTTAAAGCTCACAGTGGGGCAAAGGTTTGGTGAAAAAGTGAAGGTGGAGTCAGCAAACCACACTGTACAGACCGGCACCTGAGGATCTAGGTTGTGTCACAGCCTGCGGGGTGAGTGCTCCCACTCATTAGATCACAGCAAGACCCCAAAGGGGGCAGTTTCAGTAAGACCCCAGGCTGGACCACAAGGCCAGAGCAGAGGGCATCGGAGCCCTCCATGGGTCTCGGACTTGGCATGGGCTAGGAAAGACCTCTCCACGACGGAGGGAGAGGCCGAAAGGGGGATCTATTTTGGGAGTGTTGAGTCAGAGCTAGCTGGAGGTCATCCAAAAGTTGTCCATTGGCCAGCCCAGTCAGAGCTCAGGAGAGATGTCTGGGCTGAAGGTCACCTGGTCTGGGTTATTTTTATGAGCCACTTGGATAGAGAGAAAAGTGACCATCCTCACTGAAGGAGTCAACACCAGGCTTGGTGTCAACACCAAGCCTTATGGGCTGGACCCAGATTCAGAGCCTTAGCAGGCTGCACCTCCAGACCTTTCCCTGGGGCCATAGACACCAGACCCCCTGGAGGGGTCATAAAATACAGGAGGCGAAGGCCTGGCCTTCACCAGGGAAGAAAGGTCTGGGTATCCTTGTTGGCCCCGAGCTCCTGAGTCAGTGAAGAAGGGTGTCAGCTGTGCCCACCTGCAGGCTGTTGGCCTGGATTAGGGGAGTGGGCACTCCAAGTCTGGGGAGGGACCAGTCTGGCAGCTAATCCAGCCCTCAGAAGTGGGAAGATCAAAGGGCCTCAGTATGTGAAGAGCCATACTCACCTCTGGAGCATCCCCTTCTACCTCTACCTATTCTGACCACTTCTGGGAAACGCAGTGAAGCCTCCAGAGTTGGAAAATAAGAGAGGCCCAAGTCGCTTGCCTGGCCAAGGTGTCAACGTCCCAGGAGGCCCAGGCTGTGCTCTTAGGGGCAGAGACTTGTGGCCCGATGCCTAGGGGCCAGCTGCATGCTGTGACCCTGCTGAGCAGTTGAGTTGAGTTGAGCTGCTCGACAGAGAGGGGGAGCTCCCTTGACCCGGGTGTGCAGGCCATGATGGGAGACACCCTTTCAGGCGATGAGGTGGGTCCTGCTCTGGGAACCTCCTCCCACATTCTGTTCTGTCACCTCTTGGACCCTCAGAGGTGGTGGCAACATCAAGAGCCATCTCCCCGGTCCCGTCATTCTGTGTAAGAACTTCACCTCACTTCACGGTGCAGATAAAGAAATAGGCAGAGAGGGACTCTGGCCTGCTCACGCTCCTGTCATGGGCCAGTGGCAAGAACCTGGGGCCTGGGTTTTTCTCATTCACTCCAGGCCACCAGCTGTGAGGTGGGATAAAGTTGCATGGTCTGTCGACTCTTCAGCTGAACCCAGAGGCCTGCCCGCTCTAGGTGCCTCTGCAGCCGAGGGCTCGGGATCAAACCAGGCCCCGGTGGGCCTGCTCCCGCACTGCTTGCAGGGAGCAACACACCAGCCACTTCTCGCTTGCAGGGCAGCCTGTGGGGCGAGGCTGAATTCAGAACATAAATTATAAAGAACCACTGAGGGGTGTGTTGTCTGATTTGCAGATCCCTGGGCAGGGCCTGGAGCCAGTCCCGGGCCCCTCCCTTAGCTCAGGCATTAAAGCAAAACACACCTCTGACCGCAGGCATTTAAGGATCAAAAGAGGCCAAAAAAGCTTTTAAGAGCCAGCTCTGCCTGTGCTGCCGCTGGGCCTCGGCCTGCAGTATCAGGGCAGAGGCTTCTGTGCCAGCTCAGGTGCACCGCCCTGGAAAGACGCCTCAGAAAGCCCGGCCCCCTCGGTGGCAGCCCACGCCCGGAGAAGTCCCCAGACATCTCCGGAGAGGGTGGGCCAGAACCTTGTGGGTTATCTGTCCTACTCCTCAGACGCTTATCTGCTCCTTAACCCCCTTAGCAACCCTGGAGGGTAGGGCCCTAGCCCTTCAGCCAAGGGGCACGCCCAGGGAGTGCCACGCAGCCAGGGCAGGGAGGAGCCGAGGACTGAAACCTGGTCTGATTCCCGGAGCCTTCCCTGACCAGGACCCCGGGAGCAGCCTGGAGGCACAACAGCCAACGGGGGCCAGGGTTCCTCATCCTGTCACTGCAGTCCCAGCCTAATTATCGTCCTGCCTATCATGTATCATCCCTCCTGATTCTCGCTTGACCCCAGCCTCTCCTCTGTCCCACGGGGCACCCAGCCTCCCTCAGCCTGTATTCCCTTCCCCTGCGGTGCCTCCATTCTTGTGCCTCCATTCTGGCACCTTCCACCCCTACTCCCTCCATGTTCACACTTCCCTGCGGCTCCTCACTGACCTTGGGACAAGGCCAAGCTCCTTAGGGGGACTTTCGAAGGTTTTCCTGCTTTCCTTCTTGCTGTCAGGCTCCTCCACACCCTCACCTCGCCCCTCCCCTGCCTTCCCCACTCCTGTCTGGTCAGGTCCTGCCTCTACGTCCTCTTGCTTTGTGTCCTTTTCACTCAGTAAATACGTACTGAGGACTCCCCATATGCGAGGCCCATGTGGGTGGTGGGCTGCCCCTCAGGTCCATTCCTGGAGTCCCCGGAAGATGTCCTCAGACAGATGGCCCGGGTGTGGCAGTTGGTTGGCTTCTGCCACCGTGTAGCTTTGGGGCTTGTGTGCAGAGGAAGGAAAGTGAAAGAACTCAGGCTAGGGATGAAACTGTATAGGCTCATGGTTGAGGCCATATTTGAGTCAAAACACACCCACAAGGGCTGTACGCACAGGGAAAAAAACAGACTTTTCAGGACTAGAGACAAATATTATACTGCTAGTCCTGCGGAACTAGTGCGCTTATGGTGACCAACGCAAGGGATGTTACTTTGGGCTGGTCAACCGCGGGTATAACTTGGAAACCACGCTGGGCGCCAAACTGTTGTAGAGCAACCCCGATACAAAACGGGGTGCCTGACTGTGGGTCCTCACCCGCGCGCTTAAAAGGACTTATCAATGCTCTACTGCAGGCACACGTGAAAGGTTAATAAAAGGTTTATTTACAACGGAAAGGGAAATGAGGAAATGTACAGCTCTGGGAGAAAAGTGGGAGACAAAGTTTTAAATGCGTCCTACCCGATCCGCCGATCAGGAATCCCAAAATGGCGCTCTCAGTTGGCCGCCAGCCAGGAGCGGTGAAGCCAGGAGGCGAGCGATCCCGAGCCAGAGAGAGCGAGCAAGCCTACGTGTTTGGTTTTTATATCCAACCTGGCTGCCCAACTCCACCCTCAGGTCCCAGCCACCCTCCCCTTGGTGGTGATGGGATTTGTCTTTCCCAATGTCCTGATGGCTTTAGTCTGGAGTGGGGGTGGAGTCCACAAAGCCTGTATGAGATTATCTCAGGACATCCTTTCCCCCTAACAATCCCAAGACCCTTGCGTGTATTTGGAGGCTCGGGCCACGGGAAAGTCCCATCTCCTTTCCACGCTCCTGTCTCCCCCATGGGAGACTGAGGACGGAGAAGGGAGGGGCCTGTTCCCATCACACATCAAGCTCATGTGTGACCAGGCCCCAGGTCCCTGGTGCCAGCCCAGGTTGAAGTCACAAGCTAGGTGGCCCCCGTGGAGCCCAGAGCTTCCAGGAGGCAGGTGGTGGGGACGGAGGGTGGACTGGGGAGGACCACCACCTGCATAGTCCCTGCCTTTCAGGCTCTGGCAGCCGTCACACTCCACCTTCTCTGTCCTCACCTCCGCAGACGCCACGGTGCAAGATGACATGAACAGCTACATCAGTCAGTACTACAACGGGCCCAGCAGTGGTAAGTCTTGGGGGGGCTATTGTTTACACACTGGGACATCTGCTCTGCCCCACGACAGATGTGACTCTGGCTACCCCTCAGCCTGGCCTGCCCATCTCCTGGTGCCTGTGCCATCACTGCAGGCAGAGGACACCATTAAAACACCTGGAGCTTTGTGCTGGGCGTCGGAGCTGTGGGCACTGGGTGATGGCCGCAGATGAGGGCTGCAGGTGGGACCCTGGAATGGAAATGTGGCTGGACTAAGTGACCTCACTGCCTCCAAACCTGAGAACCTCTCAGAAGGAGCGTGATGAGGCTGAGGTAACAGCTTTGTTAGGCTGAGAAGCAGTCGGCAGCGAGCAGGCCCTGGCCTGATGCTTCACTCCTGCACTTGGAAAGCCTCAGGGAACAGAGCGGTTTTCACTCAGTCCTTCAGTGTCTTATTTCTCCTTAGCTTGAACCTTTTTTAGGGTGATGGGGTACAACTGATGTGTAATATTATATTAGTTTCAGTTGTACAATGTAATGATTCATCTCCTATATACAGCCGTTCCCTCCCACCCAGTTTAACTTTTCACAGTGTCAGATGCCTGCAGTCCACAGGGCCAAACATTTCTACGTATTTTGAGAGAGAAACCACATTCACTAAACTTGGTTATTATACAGTGTTATATATATTCTATTTTATTCTTCGTTACTGTTGTTGATCTTTTATAGTACCTAACTTACAAATTAAACTTACATAGGTTTCTATGTGAAACACAGTACAGATAGGTTTCTGTGGTTTCAGGCATCTACTAGGGGTGTTGGAATGTATCTCTACAGATCAGGGGGGACTACTGTATATTTCAAAATGATCACAACAGTAAGTTTAGTTAACATCTGTCTCTCTGTCTCTGTCTCTCTCTGTCTCTCTGTCTCTGTCTCTGTCTCTATATATAGTTAAATTATTCTTATGATGACAACTTTTAAGGTCTACTCTCTTAGCAACTGTCAAATATGCAGCACATATTTGCATTGACTATGGTATTATTGAGTATAATCACCGTGCTGTGCATTGCATTCCCATGATTTATTTATTTTATAAATGGAAGTTTGTACCTTTTGACCCCTATCACCCATTTCATCCACCACTCACCTCAGGCAACCACTCATTTGTTCTCTGTGTCTGTGAGCTTAGTTTGATTGTCTTTAGGATCCCACATGTAAGCAAGATCATACAATACCTGTGTTTCTCCATCTTATTTATTTCACTTAGGATAATGCCCTCCATGTTCTCACAGATGGTAAGACTTCATTATTTTATGGCTGAATAATATTCTGTTATGTGTCTATATATAGAGAGAGACATATATATATGTGTGTGTGTGTATATGTGTGTGTGTATGTGTATATATATATATATATATATATATATATATGATATATATATATATATCAGTGTAAAAGTCATTCACCTCCTTGGTTAAAATTACTCCTAGGCATTTTATTCCTTTGGATGCAATTGGAAATGGGATTATTTTCTTAGTTTCTCTTTCTGACAGGACATTTTTAGTATATGGAAATGCAACTTTTTTTTTTTTTGTATATTGAGTTTGCATTATGCAACTTTATTGAATTTGTTGATTAGTTCTGAGAGTTTCTTCTTAGAGTCTTTAGGGTGATTTCTGTGTATAATATGTTGTGTGCAAATAGTGACAGTTTTAATTCTTCCTTTCCAATTTGGATGCCTTTCATTTCTTTTTCTTGCCAAATCACTCTGGTGTGGACTTCCAATACTATGTTGAATAGTAGTGGTAAGAGTGGGCATACTTGTCTTATTTCTGATCTTAGAGGAAAAGCTTTCAACTTTTTACCATTGAATATGATTGGGGCTGTAAGCCTCTCAGTATGTTCTTTAATGTATGTTCCCTGTATACCCACTTTGTTGAGAGGTTGTTTTTTTAATCATAAATGGATGTTGAATTTTGTCAAGTGTTGTTTCTGCATCTGTTGAGATGATCATATGATTGCTAGCCTTCATTTCATCGATGTACTATATCACATGGATTGATATAGTACCTGTTTGTTCACCATCGCGTCTTGGAGTTTTGTTTGCCAGAGGTTTTTGATTATTGATTCAATCTCCTTATTAGTAAACAGTCTGTTCAGATTTTCTACTTCTTGTTGACTTAGTCTTGGTAGCTTGTATGTTTCTAGGAATTTATCGTTTCTTCTAGGTTATCCAATTTTTTTTAAAGATTTATTTATTTATTTATACAAGCACTGGGTACAGTCAGAAGCGCGGGAGGGTGAGAGAATTCACCAGAGCCAGAGCGGGGAGCAGAGCAGGCAGACTGATGAAATACACTGCTGAGGGGAGCAGCGGGCGGCAGGAGAGGTCTGCGCACCATGTGGGACCCTCCTCCGGTGGCCAGGGAGCAGCTGGGGATCGAACCGGCGCTGCAGAGGCTGCGGGCGGCTTCGCAACCCAGCGCTCAACCGCTGCGCCACCAGGGAGGCCCATAGGTTATCCAATTTTTGATGTCTTTGTTCACAGTAGTCTGTTTTGATCCTTAGTATTTCTGTATTATCAGTTATAATGTCTTCTCTTTCATTTCTGATTTTATTTGAGACCTTGTTTTTTCTTGGGGACTATAGCTAAAATTTGTGAAATAACCAGATTTCATTGATATTTCCTCCTTTCTTTTTTGCCTCTATTTTGTTTGTTTCCAGCTTGATCTTTCTTACATCCTACTAACTTTGGGCTTTAATTGTTCTTCTTTTTCTAGTTCCCTAAATTAAGTTATTTATTTGAGATCTTGCTTGTTTCTTGAGGTAGGAACTTATTGCTAGAACTTCCCTTTTAGAACTTACTTTGCTGCATCCCATAAGTTTTGGTATGCTGTATTTTCATTTATCACAGAGTACATTTTTTTTTCTCTTTTGATTTTTTTCTTTGACTCATTTTCTATTCAGTACCATGTTGTTTAAACTCCACGTAATTATGAATTTTCCAGTTTTCTTTTTGTAAATGATTTCTAGTTTCATACCACATGATCTCAAAAGATACTTGATATAATTTCAATCTTATTAAATTTATTAGTACTTGCTTTGTTGCTTGGTATATGATCTGTCCTGAAGAATATTCTATTCTATTCTGCTCCTGGATTGTCATCACTCAGAGTTCAACCCTCTATTTTAGAACATTGTTGATGGCCAACAGGACCGGCCCCTGTAACTTCCACCAGACATGCCACAGGTCCGCTCTCACAGAGTACTGTCTACACTCAAGTTCAACAACATGGTGTTCAACATCCTCCCTGTGGGATGGGTGGTAGATATCAGAGAACCAGGCTGCCTCCCGAGGCCTCTCCCACACCACCAAAGACACACCACCTACAGCTGCATCAGGCCCAGCTCCCAGCTCCTGGTTCAGCTCACACAGCTCACACAGCCCACGTGTGAGGCCAAGGGTGAAATGTGACTGGTATCCCCTCCTTTCTTGCAGACAGTGGTGTCCCAGAGCCAGCCATGTGCCTGGTTACCACAGCCGCCATAGACATCCACCAGCCCAACACTTCTTCCGACCTCTTCTTGGTGGACGTGCCCTTGAAAGCTGGCAGCAACGGCACCTGTGCCAGCGCCACCTCCGAGAGTGCCTCGCGTTGGGTCCACAGCTCTGGCACCCAGGCCCAGAGCGATAGCAGCCTGACGCTGGGCTCCTCCAGCGACTACAGCCCCGCCCGCGACCAGCCAGCCTCCGAGCCTAGTCCCTCTCCCCGGCCACTGCCGCAGCCACCCCAGCTGCCCATGGGGGACACCAGAGCTCCGGACCTGCTGTCGTCCCCATCGGAGGACCCCGGCCCACCACAGAGGGCCTTGGTCCCTGCCTCCAGGCCTAGGCCCAACCCTGCAGGCTCAGCCCCTACCAGTCCTGAGCCGGAGCACCGGGTCAGGCCATTCCACCAGAACCAGGAAGGCTTCACTGTCTTCCAGATCCAGCCCATCCTCCCCTTCCAGCCCCCAGAGAAGCTCAGATGTTTAGAATCCAAAGAACAAAAGCTGCACAGGGTCCCTGAAGCCTAAGGCAGGCTGGGTGGGAGGAGGGAAGCTCTCCCAGGGCCCCAGATGCCTTGTGGCCACATGCCAGGGCTCAGGGGCACCCTCAGGGTGTTGCCTGCCTCCAGGGCAGAGATGCCAGGGCAGGAGGCCACCAGCCTCAGACCTCAAAGCCCAGAGCTGGTGCCCGTCTCACCCTGCTCGGGAGGGGGTGCTCATGGCTGGGTTGTTTTTTAAAACCATTTTTACAAAAACCAGCCCATGGCCCGGCTTCAGCAGGGTAGAGCTAGGGCCCAGCTCAGCCTCTTTTGTTGCCTTCGTTCCTGCCGAGTCCCCGGGAGCCTCGGGAGCAGCACTGTGAGCAGGGGCAGCCCAGCCCCCCCAACCGTCTTTCCCAGGAGCCCCCGGGGGAGCCAACGCCATCCCTTGAAGACCACCACCTGGACCCACATCACTCGTCCCCATTCTCACTTCAGCATGAGTGTTTCTGAGTCTTTTCAAGACGAATTTTGTTTTCACCATCACAGAACATGAAGGTTGGATCTGGAGACAGGGAGGGGGCCGGGGGCCGGGAGGGGACAGTCGTTTTCCAATCTTGGCTTTAATAATAAAAACCAGCTGCACTGACACTGCGTTTGGTAAGGTTTCCTTCGATTGCTGGCCAGGTGAGTAACCCTCGGTGGTGCCTTGGAGTTTTGGTGGGTCTGATCCGAGGTCCCCCAAGAGCCTTCCACCCCTCTCTGGTCAACCCAAGGCCTTTAAAGAGCGGAAGTGTCCCTGGGCCTGCTGGGAAGCTCTTACCCTCCCTTTGCCTCCTGCATCACATGAGCTCAGATTCCTGCCTTCCTGGTGACAGTTCCAGACCTAGCTCCCCGACCAGGCTCCAGCACTCGGGGACCGTGAGTCAGCAAGTCTGAATCTGAATGTCTCCCTCCTCGCCCCCCACAAGCACTCACAGGCCTCAGTTGTTCCACCTTCCAAGGCCTCCATCAGGGCCTTGCTCAAGCCCAGCCCCTGCTTCTGCCTCCTGCAGTGTCCTCCCAGTTGCGGGCCTGCTGAGGAGCCTCTGAGGAATTCTGTGTTTATCACCACTATGCTTTGTTTTCTATGCAGAAAGGTGGGGGGAGGGAGAGACTATTTTTTAATCTCGAGGGCTCCCCTGGCCTCCACCGAACCTTGCAGGGAGCCCGTGTGTGCTGCCTCTCTGGCTGCCCCACCGTCCCTGTCCAGTGTTCACACTTGCCCTGACAGCAGTGTTCCCGGTGGGGGCAGCATCCACTTCTTGCCCCTCTTTGTCTTCATCGAGAGCAGGGGTCAGGCCTGAGTCCTGTTGCACCCCAGAGCCTTCCTTGGGCACAGTCACTGGCAAAGAAGGCTCACTTGGAAGAAAGGGAAGGAAACCACTCCCTGCAGGCAAAGAGCGCCCTCCTGCTTCACAGAGCAGGCCCCATGTCACGGGTCCTACTCTCTGACTCAGTTTCCCCATCCAGAAAATGGTTCCACAGAAAAGCTGCCTTTTTAAAGCTGATTTCCCAGGGTCTGCACATGTTGCTGGGGTGGAGTCCTGCCCGAGCACTCGCTGTCACCTTCAACGCTCGAACAGCCAAGAGCAGCATCGCGTTGTCCAGGAGCAGAAGACTGGAGACGGAGAAACCCAGAGGGCACACACCTCCCCGGGAGCAGAGAGACAGGAGTCCAAGGAAGCCGCATGCCTGCCCAGAGGAAGCTCACAGGGGAGGAAACCTTGAGACGGGGATTTAAAGAATAAGCACACTCAGTTCCTCCCGCCTCTGTAATGAGGTGGAAGAGAGAGGCTTTGATGGGGCAGTTTCAGCACTGAACACCAAAACTGCCCCACTTCCAGGAAATGTGGATTGTCTCGTCCCGAACGAATCAAGTTGGTTATAAAACCATGAAAAGACACAGCGATAGGGAGGAATTTGTCCAGTAGAGAGGGTGGGACCGTAATGCAAGAAGAAGAAATGTGCTGGGTGAGGCCCGGGCAGTGGTGGGTTGGAGGAGGGACCAAGTAAGGGACAAGAAAAGGCCAGATGAATGGTTCCTAGCAGCTTTGAATGCCAACGTGTGGGGACTCTGCAGCAGGGTCCGCGGAACCCGCGGAGAAGCACAGGAATGCCCGGGAGGAGGGAGAGAGAGGGCGGGTCCCAGGGACTGGGACAAGACACTTGAGCAGAGGTCTGGGAGAATGTCCAGGACTGGGCCTCCTGGGATGTGGAGTGAGGAAGAAGTGTAGCAGAGGGGGAGAAAGCCACCAAACCCAGCAGTGGGTCAAGGCACCTGGCGGGTGTCAGGATGGCCACATTAGCAGGGTGAGCGCAGAGGAGAGACAGAAGACAGGGGCTCTGAGAACAGCCCTGCCTTTTCTTCTGAGGTGGCCGGGCCTGCTCAGTGTCCAGGCCCCAGGCCCCGTGGGCCTCTGCATCCCCCTCTAGAGCTGAACGTGGGCCTGGACCACAGTGCGGAAGGGAGAGCAAAAGCTTTTTTTTTTAATGATTTATTATTTATTTATTTATCCGAGCACTGGGGTACAGGCCAGAGATGCAGGGGGGTGAGAGGGTTCACCAGAGACAGAGTGGGGAACAGAACAGACAGACTGACTGAAATACACTGCTGAGGGGAGCGGCGGGCGAGCAGGAGAGGTCTGCTGCGCCATGTGGGTATCTCCCTGGCCTGGGATCAAACTCGTGCTGCAGTGACTGTGGACAGCTTCATAGGCTGCGTCTTAACCCCTTGCGCCACCAGGGAGGCCCTGAAAGAGTAAAAGCTTTGACTGTGGCTCTGCCCTGGGAGCCATAGTCCAGGCTTCTCGGGTCAGGAGCTGGCTGCTAGGCTCTCCTGGAAGGCTTGCAACTCTGGGAAACAGTGACCCTACTCCTCTGTCCTGTCAGAGAGCCCCTCAACCCCTCCCCGGTCTGTCACGAAAGGGAGATGGGTCTGGGTAGCAGCGCTGGCTCCAGTATCCAGCAGAGGCTATAAGGACGGCTCCCATCAGTTCACCTCCTGGTGTGACGAGCGATCTTTGCACTCCCTCTCTCAGCCCTGCAGCACGGGGCTATTTTCCGTGGCTTGCAGAAGAGAACACAGGTACAGAACAATTAAAGAAATGACTTGTCCACAGGTACACAGCTAATCAAACAGGGGAGTCCCCAGGAAAGGGGGAGGTTCCAGGTTCCCTGCCCCACCCAAATGGAGGGTGGAGCTGAGCAGGGAGAGAAGAAGCTGCAGAGGAGACTGAGGAAGGAAGCAGGATGGAGCCAGAAGGAGACCTGGGGGAGGCGCATGGAGCCTAGAGACACATGGAGAAACTGCGCTTGCCTTTCGGTCGTGGACGGGGTGACACAGATGTGGGGAGAGACCCGTGGGGAGGTAACAATGGCGGTTTTTGTCTTGATTTTGCTCTTTTCCTCCTAGACTTGTCTAGTTGTTTCTGACCCTTTTCTGTGGGTCCCCACTGGGACAGGCTTGGGACAGGCTTTGGGGCCTTGCTCTGGGCCAATCCTGCTTGGGTGGACTTTTACCCACGAGGGGCCGGGTAACTGTGGGTGCTTGATTTAGAAACTAGATTCTTTGCCTTTCCTGTATTGTTCACTGATTGTATTAAAGTTCCTTCCCATCAAAGTCTCCTGTTTTGTGTTGATGCAGCAGATGGCAGAACCCATTTAGAGCAAGCAGGTTTTGGGGGGTCTGGGGCTCCCCTCTCCCTGCCCTGTAACAAAATTAATGGCAGGATTTAAACCCAGGTCTTTTCTAATCCATGGAACGAGCTCCCTGGAATTAAGGCAGGTCTCATCAGGAGAGCCAGATGCAGCAATAAGGACCCTGGCCACGCACTGACCCACCCTCCTGCAGGGCCTTGCCACCAAAGTGAGAGAGAGGCCAAGGCCGTAGCCAGGGGGCCACCACGCCATTCTATCCTGGCAGTGAGGACAGCCAGGCCCGAAGCAGCAGCAGAGCCCCACAGGCTTGGCCTCTGCCCCCAGGGACTGGGCAGCTGAAAGCCTTCCTGGGGGTGCAATCGACTCCTCTCCAGCAAGCCTTGGGTATGAACTCTGGGCCAGACTGCAGCTTTTCAGATCAAGTCACACAGACCGTGGGTTTCACAGACATTACTTGGTTAGAGGCTAGTGGCCTGAGTCTCCTGGGCACCGGAAATCCTGCCTTTTGAGACCTTGGGCCCAGGAACTCCTTTTATTCCACGACAGTGCCTGAAGGCAGCTCTTGTCCTGATGCTGCCTCTGTGCTTCTTTCTGGCATGATATCCTCATCTCTAAAGAGAAAGTTGAGAGCTGAGACCCGGCTTTCTGTGACCACTTGAGAACCCCAAAATGTAACCCTTGGCTGAAACCAAAGACTGTTACAGATGGTGCCCCCTGGAGGGGGCTGCTGGTGAAGATAGATAGCCCCAGGGAAAATGCAGACACACTATCAATGGAGGTGGAGATTCTGATGAGGAATAAAAGGGATGGCAGAAGCAGCCCCCAGGATTCAGCGTTCAGCATTCATTGCTTGGGATTCAGAGTCTCTGGATCTTCAGCAATTGGGGGGTCAGCGATTTCTGCCCCCACCATGCCGATCTTCCAGAAGGCTGGTGGGAGCCTCTGAAGGATGTGGAGAGGCCTCCAGCAGCCAACCTCAGAGAGGAAAAGTTCAGAGGCTTTGCAAGCAGTCGAGCAACTGAAACTGTTCCCAGTTTTGCTGCTGTTACAGCCTGGCAGGGAAGGTGAAGACCTGGAGCCAGGCGCCCCACTGAGATGCGTGAGTGTGGCCCTTTGTCAGGTCATTCGGGGCCGCTGCAGCTGCTGTTTAGAGTGTCGCTTGTCTGGTGCTGGGCATCTTGGCAGTTCCGTGAGCGCGTCCTGTTGTATCTTCTGCTGCCTTCGTGAGTCGGATCCTGGCCTAGGGTGTGGCTGCTGCGTGCTCCAGGCCTCAGTGGCAGGAAGACGCCATCTTGGAAGCCTTTGTGTTTAGGACTTGAAAACACTGGACACTGCTTTGGATGAGGTAAAGGCCATTTGCGGCCTCAGTGACTCTTTGTTTTTCCCTGGTTTGTTAAATAAATCCCTTTATTGTTTTTCTCTGAACCTGACTGGCTTCGTGATTGTGCACATGGGTGAAGAACTCAGATGGTGCCTGGTAAACTATTTGGGCAGTGTCTTTGGCCAGTTTTAGTGCCCCTTGTTGCCCTGTATCAAAAAGAGATATGGCCCAAGCTAGCTTTCCTAAAAGGAAAGCATCTTTCTGTCCAGCCAACAGGACGCGTGTGCAGTTGCCGCTCAGGGATGGCCAAGTGCTTACTCTTGGGCTGAAGCAGCTCTGCCCAAGTCTGGAAGGGACACCCGGGCTGGAGCCAGGGCTGGGGCAGCCCTCCGCCTCGGCGCCGCTGTGCGCACAGGCACCTGGGTTCTTGGCCTGGTTGTGGTTCTGGTTTACCCGGTGGCTCCGAAAGAGCCCTTGGGTCCTCGTACAACAGGAATAATGACTCCTGGGCCCCCATCCCCATAGGGGATGACTAATGATATAATGGAAGGGAAAGCCCTTTGAGAATGTTTCAAGGGAGACACAAACAGACCATCCTGAATAATAGATGGCGGGGTGCTTC